CTCATGCAACATTAAGGGTACCTTGTGGTGTGGGGGATATCCATACTGCCAATATATCATATGTGATATGTGGATAATCAGGTTGTGATGCCAAACGATTGTCTATTTAGCCCCCAAAACATTCTTAATTGTACAAAGGGGGTCATTAATATGTTTACTTTTCATTGTAGTGCCCACTTTGTAGGAAAAACCAAGTGGAGTCTTGGAGATTAATTCAAAACCGTATTTTTGTGGTAGAGATCGGTAAGTTAAGATCACTTATAGGTCAACATATGGCAATCCATCATAGTTACAGTATGGCATAAGTAAAGCTTATGGCCTTTGATAGGAAACTGGCTGTTTGAAGGTAGAAGCTTATGTTGTGATGTTAATTATTGTGCATAGGCCCACCTTTTTAAGGACATTGTTTAATAAGGGGCATATGTTTTTTTACAAATGTATTGACATTATATTTTGACAGATTAAGGTATCCCAATAGTCCTATCAGATTCTTAAAATATTTTTAAATAAAAGAGGAATCTCCTCTGGATTCTTTGGTCCATGGGTTAAAGTCTGGGATTGTGCATGGGCTCCTTAAACAAACAGCCAAAGAGGTTCAATGGCATGTGAATATTGGCCATTAATTAAGGTTTTAGAAAACAGATATATGCTTTAAAAAATAATTTCTGTGAATGCTTCATATTTGCAAGGACGCTTCTATAAGCAGATTCTTAAAGTGAAAATTCAGCTATACAAAAAAGAATACCATGCTGTCACGTATAGGTTTAACAGCATAGTTTGCCAAACCTACCTATCAGTCAGGGCTCCCTTTATGTTTAAACAATGAGGTCCACAACAACATTTAGAAGAAGCTTTCTAAAATTCTCTGCAGCCAACAATGGCTTCATTCTGAGTTATTTGGGGACCTGCACCCCAAATGCTATGGGAGGGAGCTCTGTCCTGTTGTTTTGGGATGCACTTGTGCAGTGTGTACTCTCTCCTGTCACCTATGATAAACTAAAACATAAGACATAATTAGCAATACTTAAGACTAGCTATTTTGGAAATATTTTATGCAAAACATAGATATGAGATCTTTCTTGTTCTTTGTCTGTTTACTGGCTGGAAAGAAAGCCAAGGATCTATATTAATTTACAGTAGGATTGAATTGTTCTCTGATTTGGAAATTGAACAAAATGAATTTCACCCATGGATGATTGCGGCAGCTTGTTCTTCTCTGCAAAATTCCCTCATCTGCACTGCACAGAGAATGGAAAAACACCAACACAAAGAGCGTTTCCTGCATGTTTGTCCATATGCCCTGCTAGTAAATGTGCTAGTAAACGTTAAACAGAGCAGAAGAAGATAGTGTTAACCATATCTTCTAGATGCCAACATTCAGTTCCCCTAGACTAAAAAAAAATCTTAAAATGCATCCTTTATGGTTTTGGGTCAGTTTAGATTTTGTTTCTTTTTTTGTTATTTTTTATCTTTTAAGATTTCCTTTCTGAGTTTGTTCCCATTTGAACAGAGCCAGAGAATGAGTCACTTTGGGTATAAGCTATTGGTCTCTGTAAACAACAACCTTTTTTAAACAGCAGAAAAGAATAGAAGAGTAAGCATGAGTAAGCTATCTTTTATTTTTATAAACTCTCTCTATATATTTTTTTTCATTCAAATTATTAATATTAGTATTATTTGTGTTTTTACAGGTTTTGCAAAGGATTATAGACTTTTTTTTAAAGATAAAACATAATATCTTTTCCCTTAAGATTGTTTCACCCTAACTGAAACTAATATACTGTATCTATGTGTGTATATCTAATCTGAGCTTCAGCTAACTAAGGCAGGCCATACAGGGTTTGAAGGAAAGAACATTGCTTGATTCTCCCATAAACACAGTCAGTGTTGATGGTGGGACCCCTCCCGCTATTCCATGAGAATACAATCATCACTGCTGGCTGCTATAGCTGCCGATAGCGATCGAACATAAAAGACTCAACAAGCTGATTGTACTGAAGTTGATTGATATATTGACTTCAGTACACCTAGCCTAACCATAGATGGATCAAAATGCATCTGGTTCTTCATGTTTTAACATTTTTTTGTATCCTTGAATGAGTTTAAAAAAATATAATTTTAAGAATTTATTTGAACATGTATCTAATTTCAGTGACATTACCTGACATAAAGTAGGGAAGCAAATATAATTGTAGCTGTTTGACCTAATGTTACCATTTCAGATAGCATGATATCATGTCAAGTAGCAAAAGCACCTTTTGTATACAATCAAATTTAGTTAAGAAACATGATTCACAGGCTTACAACTCTGCTCTTCAGAGATATGATGACTGTGGATCTTTGCAATCGCAATACTAAGAATTCCTATAACTGTACTTTAATAAAGTGATTCGCTGATTTCCATACTGTGAGTTAATTTACTAGTGTTTCACACAATATTAAACTGAAGCCTTGGTGTATTGTATGTGTTCTTGCCATATTGCATTCAGCAATTAAATTGTGTATTCTTGTAGAGAACAGCAAGGAACCTTTACACCCATTCAATCAGATGCACAGGAACACTATTTACCTATAATGTCTTCTGACATTTTTCACTGTGCGAATTAACTCACCAACAACCACATACAATTTAGCTGACAACTTTGGGTGAAGTTAGCTTTACAGTGCAGGATCCCTGAGCACATTTCTTCTTCCCAGATAAATGCATCCTTTACTGACCTCACTCAAATAAAATTAAATCCTAAATTGTTTAATATTGGTTACTTAACTGTATATGTAATCCATGAACTTTGCACTGATTTTTTGGTATTGATTTCCTAATTCTTTAAGGGATTAGCAAATGTTCACTTAAAATAAAGCCTTGTTTGCTTTGAATTCTTAATCAAGTGAATAAAAATAGCAAAAAGGTAGCTTGAACAAGATAGGATGATTGAAGTGACCATAACTTCACTTTAATTATTAGGATAAGGGAACATTTACTTTGTTCTATGAACAGTCTTTACTTTTGGTAAATCAACCCTACTGAATGGCTATCACTTTCATCTCAATGATTATGATGCTAAATTACATGATATCATTCAGTAGACAAGAACATTGTTGTCTGTCATTGAGTTTATTTCTTGTCTGTAAAGTTTTTAGGGCTATTTGTAAAGATTGGTAAAATGAATGCCTTTCATTTTCCCATCATCCTCCTCCTCATACATTAACTTTTACATTTCAATTAAATAAAAGTAAGAGAAGTAAAAGTTTCCAAATGTTTCTACCAGGGGCGGACTGACAACTCATGGGGCCCCTGGGCAATAGGAGATCATGGGGCCCCCTGTGTCCCTGCCCACTCAAGCCGCACCCACACAAAGTCCCACCTACATATTACACTGCCCGCAATACATGCGCTTGTCACAGAATTTCTCTACAGTATGATCAAAATAAATGTTTATTACACAAAATAAAGAAAAAAAAAACTTACATGAAAGAGAGCACAACAATGGTACATTTCAAAATGAAGGTTCTAATTAATTTTTCTATTCCTTCCACTGACACCAATGATAGGGCACTATTCCTCCCACTGACACCAATGATAGGGCACTATTCCTCCCACTGACACCAATGATGTGGCACTATTCTTCCCACTGACACCAATGATAGGACATTATGCCTTTCACTGACATGAATGATAAGGCACTATTCATCCCACTGATACCAATGATGGGGCTCTATTCCTCCCATTGACACCAAAGGTGGGATGCTATTCCTCCCCCTAATACTAAAGATGCATGGTTTACTCCCACTGATGCCAGGACAATTTCTGATCCCAAAGACCACAGTCCGGTCCCAAAAACCTGAAGGACAGTAAACTGGCCCTTTGATCTAAATTTGGGGTCTCCAGACTTTCTAAACCAAGCATGTTCATGTGTTAGAATGGCCCAGTCACAGTCCAGATCGAAATCCAATGGAGAATCTGTGGCCAGAACTGAAAATTGCTGATCCCAGACTCTCTCCATCTAATAAGAGAGCTTGAGTGATTCTACCAAGAAGAATGGGCAGAAATGTCCCTCTGTAGATGTGCAACAAAGCTGGGAGAGACGTCCCCAAAAAGACTTGCAGATGGAATTGCAGCCAAAGGGGGTCCTACAAAATACTGACTCCAGGGGGCCGAATACAAATGCCGCCACACTTTTCACAGATTTATTGGTCACAAATGTTGGAACCATTTCGCATTTTCCTTCTACTTCACAATTATGTGACACTTTGTGTTGGTCTATCACATAAAATCCCAATAAATAAATTCTAACATGACAACATGGGGGACATTTCAGGGGGGGAATACATTGTAACATGACAACATGGGGGACATTTCAGGGGGGGATACATTGTAACATGACAACATGGGGGACATTTCAGTCGTGAGGAAGACTTTTTCAAGCCACTGTATATATCACTGATATTTGTACACTGAGTACTATTCCCTATGTATAACACTGATATCTGTACACTGGGTGCCACTCAGTGTACAGATATCACTGTTTTATATATGGAATATAGAATAGAAGACTACTATTAACCTTTTGCCTACAGGGCACATATACCCCCTTCCTGCCCAGGCCAATTTTCAGCTTTCAGTGCTGTCACAGTTTGAATGACAATTGTGAGGTCATGCAACACTGTCCCCATATGAAATTTTTATCATTTTTTGAGACAGATAGAGCTTTTTTGGTGGTATTTAATCCCCTCAGGGTTTTTATTTTTTGCTAAACTAACCAAAAACAACTGAAAATTTTGATTAAAAAGTTTTTTTTCTTAGTTTCTGTTATAAAATTTTGTAAATGAGTAATTTTTCTCCTTCACTGATGTGCACTAATGAGGCTGCAGTGATGGGCATTGATAGGCTGCACTGATGAGGACGCATTGGTAGGTGGCACTGATGGGCATTGACAGACATCACTGATGGGCACTGAAAGGCAGCACTCATATATGGCACTGATAGGCGGCACTGATAGGCAGCACTGACTGGCACTGTTAGGTGGCACTGATAGGTGGCACTGATTGGCAGCACTCATAGGCGGCACTGACTAGCACTGGTAGGCAGCTCAGATGGGCACTGATATGTGGCATTGCTGTGCATTGATTGGCACTGACAGGTGGCATTGATGGACACTGACAGGTGACATTAATGTGCACTGACAGGTGGCACTAATGGGGCTACACTGATCATCAGGGCACTGATCAGTGCCCTGATGATCAGTGTACATGTCCCCTCTGAGGAATGCCGATTACCGGCTCTCCTCTCTTCTGTCAGCGTGACAGCTGATGAGGAGAGGAATGCCGATAACCGGCATTTCCTTATTTACATGCGATCAGCTGTGATTGGACACAGCTGATCACATGACCGAGCTCTTTCCGCTGATCAGTGATCCGCTGTGTCCCAGGGACACAGTGCACCACCAATCGTTGGAGTGGGAGGACGTCATATGATGTCCTCCCAGAACAAGAGAACCGCCGCCTGCCTGTCTTTCCTTATATGACGGGCGAGAGGCGGTTAAGCTGCAGTGCTATCAGTGTCACTGGGGTCCTGTGTTCAGTAACACTTTAATCTCCAAATATGAAAAGGTTTCTTCACATTAAGAGCTGTGAGAATGTGGAATAGACTCCCTCAAGAGTCGGTTCTGGCCAGCTCAGTGGATTGCTTTAAAAAAGCCCTGTATTCTTTCTTGGTTACACAGAATATAACTGGTTACTAACATTTATAGGTAAAGTTGATCCAGGGAATATCTGATTGCCTCTCGGAGGATCCGGAAGGAATTTGTTCCCCTGCAGAAGCATATTGGATCATGCTTTGCTGTGTTTTTTGCCTTCCTCTGGATCAACTGTGGGTGCAAGATTATAACTTTTTTTTTTTTTTTTTATGGTTGAACTGGATGGGCTTTTGTCTTTTCTCAGTCAGACTATGTAACTATGTAATGTGGTTGCATAAGTGTGCACACTCTCTTATAACTGGGGATGTAGCTGTGTTAAGAATTAAGCAACCACATTCAAAATCATGTTAAATAGGAGTCAGTACACACCTGTCATCATTTAAAGTGCCTCTGATTAACCCCAAATAAAGTTCAGCTGTTCTGGTAGGTCTTTCCTGACATTTTCTTAGTCGCATTCGACAGCAACAGCCATGGTCCACAGAGAGCTTCCAAAGCTTCAGAGGGATCTCATTGTTAAAAGGTATCAATCAGGAGAGGGTACAAAAGAATTTCCAAGGCATTAGATATACCATGGAACACAGTGGAAAGGCATCATCAAGTGGATAAAATATGGCGCAACAGTGGCATTAGCAAGGACTGGACGTCCCTCCAAAATTGATGAAAAGACGTGAAGAAAAACTGGTCTGCGAGGCTGCCAAGAGTTCCTACAGTGACATTAAAGGAGCTGTAGGAATATCTTGCAAGTACTGGCTGTGTGGCACATGTGACAACAATCTCCCGTATTCTTCATATGTCTGGGCTATGGGGTAGAGTGGCAAGACGGAAGCCTTTTCTTATGAATAAAAACATCTAAGCCTGGCTAAATTTTGCAAAAACACATCTGAAGTCTCCCAAAAGCATGTGGGAAAATGTGTTATGGTCTGATGAAACCAAGGTTGAACTTTTTGGCCATAATTTCAAAAGATATGTTTGGCGCAAAAACAACACTGCACATCACTAAAAGAACACCATACCCACAGTGAAGCATGGTGGTGGCAGCATTGTGCTTTGAGGCTGTTTTTCTTTAGCTGGAACTGGTGCCTTACTCAAGGTAGAGGGAATTATAAACCGTTCCAAATACCAGTCAATATTGGCACAAAATCTTCAGGCTTCTGCTAGAAAGCTGAACATGAAGAGGAATTTCATCTTTCAACATGACAATGACCCAAAGCATACATCCAAATCAACAAAGGAATGGCTTCACCAGAAGAATATTAAAGTTTTGGAATAGCCCAGTCAGAGCCCAGACCTGAATCCGATGGAAAATCTGTGGGGTGATCTGAAGAGGGCTGTGCACAGGAGATGCCCTCGCAATCTGATAGATTTGGACACCACCCCCCTTTGACTTCTCCATCACATCCAACAACGCCACCATCAAACCCGCCCTGCAGGCCAGAGTACTTGGTGTCATTCTGGACTCCAACCTATCCTTCCAGCCCCAAGTCCAATCTTTAACAAACTCGTGCAGACTCCACCTCCGCAACATTGCCAAAATACGCACGTTCCTAACCCCAGAAACCACTAAACAGCTCATCCACTCCCTCATCATATCACGACTCGACTACTGCAACTCCCTCCTCACTGGCCTGCCTCGCCGCTGGCTATCCCCCGCTTCAGTCGATCCTGAATACGGCTGCCAGACTCATTCACCTTTCCAAACGCTCCGTTTCCGCCACCCCCCTCTGCCAATCCCTCCACTGGCTTCCGATTGCGCAACAGATCAAATTCAAAATCCTAACACTGACGTACAAAGCTGTCCACCATACTGCCCCAAACTACATCACTGACCTAATATCCAAGTACCGCCCAGCACGCACACACTCCGCTCCTCACAAGACCTCCTTCTCTCTAGTTCCCTGGTCTACTCCTCCCATGCCCGCCTCCAGGACTTCTCCAGGGTGTCACCCATCCTCTGGAACTCCCTGCCCCAACCCATCAGATTATCACCTACTCTCCTCTCCTTTAGGAGCACCCTGAAAACCCATCTCTTCAGGGAAGCCTACCCCACCCCCTGCTAACTTGTCAACCTCCTCCACTCTTCCTACCACTTCATCCCCCACAGCTATCTCCTCCTGTGCCACCATCCCCTCCCTCCTAGATTGTAAGCTCGAAAGAGCAGGGCCCTCAATCCCCTCATGTTTTGCATTGTATTGATGCCCAACGCATCAAATTCAAACTACTCACTCTGACCTACAAAGCCATTCACAACACTGCCCCTAACTACCTCACCGACCTGATTCCCAAGTACCACCCTACCCGTACCCTTCGCTCTTCACAGGACCTCCTTCTATCTTGCTCCCTGGTCTCCTCCTCACACGCACGTCTGCAAGACTTCTCCAGGTCCTCCCCCATCCTCTGGAACTCACTACCCCAATCCATCAGACTGTCACCTTCCCTCCTCACCCTTCAGGCGCTCCCTGAAAACCCACCTCTTCAGGGAAGCCTACCCCACCCTCACCTAACTGCTGCTCTCCTTCATTCCTCCTACCACTCCATCCCCCACAGCCACTTCCTCCTGTACCACTACCCCCTCCCTCCCAGATTGTAAGCTCGAAAGAGTAGGGCCCTCTTACCCCTCGTGTGCTGTTCGTAGCTGCTGTAATGTTTCATGTATTGTCCCCCCCTCTATTGTACAGCGCTGAGCAAACCCTTTGGCGCTATATAAACTCAATGTAATAATGTAATATTGGTGTTGTTCCGTCACATGTTCTGTCCCCCTTTGTAATGTACAGCGCTGAGCGAACTATTGGCGCTTTATAAATACTGTATAATAATAATAATTTGGAGTGTGTTTGCAAGGAAGAGTGGGAAAATATTGCCAAGTCAATATGTGCCATGCTGATAGACTCATACCCAAAAAGACTGAGTGCTGTAAAAAAATCAAAAGGTGCTTCAACAAAGTATTAGTTTAAGGGTGTGCACACTTATGCAACCATATTATTTTCATTTTTAATTTTTACTTCCTTCCACCTAAAAGATTTCAGTTTGTTGTTCAACTGAGTTGTACAGTTTTTAGGTTGCATTAAAGGTGGAAAAGGTTCAGAAATGATTTATCTTTGTCTCATTTTTTTTATATCACAGAAACCTGACATTTTAATGGGTGTGTAGACATTTTATATACACTGTATGTGTATAAGTATACTCTTAGCTACTGATTTTAAAGAAATAAGAAATTCTGTTCATTTGTGTATTGCTAGCTCTGAACTCTCATTAGCTATTATTCAGAAATGAAATTTTTTTGTCTGCATACATTTTAAACAGCATGCCTAAGAAGAAATAACTTACTATTACTTATTATTAATAGACCACTGTACTGTGAGGTACCCTGTAACCTGATGAACACCGTTTACAAAAATAGTAGAATCAAGAAACTATTTCCATTGATAAAAACAATTCTGGACTTCTGGACTTACTGATTAGTAAATGATATAGCAATGATATGCATAATACAAGAGATTGTGCTAAAATAAACCAGCCTGTATAAACCAGCATAAGGGATTAGAGTAGACACTAAAACAAGTTTTTACATTTATCTCTGATTTATTTTAACCTTTCTGTTGTGTGTTCAAAACTCATGCATGCTCCCCTTGCAAGCCATAATGCAACACATTGGGTATAGTTGCCTGCTGGCTGTGGCCAAAGTTAGCATTTCTATATAACACACAACCCCCACTTGAGGCGTGAGATGGGTATTTTTCTAAAATATCACAGAATGTTCAATTCTCAAGTTTTAGTTTATTTTGAATGTTTTATCACTGATAATTATATTTTAATATAATTTACAAAACGTTTTCTCTATGGTGTCAGGGATTCTTGCCTCCTTAACAAGCTTCTTCAGCCAAGTTTCAAAACTCCCTGGAGAACTTAGATATAACTAAATTGAAGATGCAATAATCAAACTTATCTTTATTAATGTCACTTTACTGTTTCCAACATAATAGGAGCATTCCTTATTTCATCACACTTGTTTATAAACTGCAGTCCTTAGGATGGTTAGCCATATCTCAATGGTGCCATTTTGTAGGTAAACATGCTCACATACTCGTATTTCATCCAGTGTTGCTCACATATGAAATATAATATTGTTTAGTATGTGGTTGGTCAGATGTTAATATCCTGTTTGTTATCCATAAATAACACAAATAGAAAAACAGATCTAGATTTGCATGTCTTTTATATGGCACAATATGAGCCAGGTCTACCCACATGTAGGTCACACACATTTGGCTAAATTGGAGTTTAAACAAATATGGGTTACCCTGCTGGTGGCATGCACATGCAGTATAAGATATCAATCAATTGCCATGCTTCACTTCCAATTTGAACTCAAAACAACCAACATAAACATCTTTTAATGAATGTTCATGTATTGATATATTCACAAATACTTGAATTGCAACCAACTTCTTGAAACACCTTATGCTATTAAACACTGCAAACCAATGTGTATACACATCCACCAGATGTGCTCTCACCTGGTGTATATGACCAAACCGCTAAGTGAGGTCGTATATAGTGTGTGTCCCTTGTGTGGACTAATATATGATGTGCAATGAGTATGGGTCTCCTCCACTCTCCTAACTGTCCTCCTCCATCAGATATATACCAAAAAAAGATGACCAAAACATAGT